CGACGACGACGAAGACGACGACGACGACGACGACGACGACGACGACGACGACGACGACGACGACGACGACGACGACGACCCCCCGATAGCATCTGGCCTTCCAGCCCGAAGGCGTCGCCCTCGTCGTCGCCTGACGCTCGTGGGGGGCCCGCGGGCATGCACACATTCTGTGTATATATATATATATGTATACACCACGCGCGCTTCGCGCGCTGAGGCTCTTGCGCAGACCAGGGCGTTGTCACGACAGTGGATTCATGGTCGATGACTCGTAAAGTCACGCTTGCCTGTGCTGGCTGCGCGTGATTTTGAGACCGGTTCCGTCCATCTCTTGCCCAGCTGCGTCATCAAATATTTGTCCCTGCGTCATGCTCTCTATCAATATCTCTTGTTTGTTCCTGATGTTCAATCCTCGCTCACTTTACCTGCGTCATCCTGCTACGGATCTCCACCCTCCCTGCCCAATCCGTGGTTGTCTCCGATCAATTTCTTTACATGCTTTCCTGTCCGTGTCTGCCTTTCAACGTCGTCTCTTACTCTGCTCTCCTGGCCGGTCCCTTCCGCTACAGCATGGGTCTGCTTGTAGCGGGCCCCCTTCTCCTGAGAGGGTCCAAGACATTGCCCGGGCAGTCTGCAGTTGGCAACTTTGCCATGCGAGACCTGATACGATCCGCATTGCGCGCAAACTATCGCCCAAGGAGTCAACAAAACCTGGTGCCCCTGCATCGCCACGATAGCTATCATCGAGGCGCAGGCTTATCGCCGAGGAGGGTGTCCCCGACGACATTGGCCTGCGCCTCCTCAGCATCGCCCATACCATCGGCAAACTGGAGCGGCACAGGGATCGCATGGGCCCTAAGCAACGGAGCTCGCTGGAACTCCGCGTCGCTAGCAGCCTTCAGCCTCTCTTGGGCCGCGGGCTGGTAGGGGGTTCCAAGAAACTTCCCAAGACTGGCCATGCGTGACAGCCATCCCGAGACGGTCCCTACACGGGAACACATTGGGCCCCGCGCAGCCCTCGCTACCAGAAGAAGCTCTGGTCGACCTGAGCTACCATCCGTAGCATTAAGCCGGGCGAGTCCCCCTACAGGGGGATGTTCGACGAAACATAAAAACAAAAAGGTAATCAAAAACCAAAAAAAAAAAATACCCCAAAAAATGTCTCCAGGCTATGGATGGACTATTTGTTTATTATGTGTGGAGTATTTTTTATTTTTTGTCGAAAATCCCCCTGTAGGGGGACACGCCCGACGTAACCCTAGCAGCCATTTTGGCCGCCGCCCACGCGAAGAACTTGGCCTGCAACCTGAACAGTACCAAGTGGGCCTCGAAGCTCTTGACCAGAGCGTTCGGTAGCACATGCTCTCCTGCAACGTTCTTCGAGAAAAGATCCGCCAACATGTTGCCGAGTGCATGCTCCCACGGCACCTTCCATCTGGAATCTTCTTCGATGTACTGCTCTAAGCTCATGTGAGACGGGCACCAATAAAACTTTGGAGCATCATCTCGGATAGGCACCCAGCTCAGCATAGATCGCTTGATGTCAGCGTAGCTGGCCTGGGCGTCGGCATGCTGGTGAGACCAACTGGCGCCCTCCTTGGCTAAATTCAGCAGGTCTGCGACGACCAAAAACACAACTGGGAAATGGCGCAAGGCCTGCAATACCGCGAACCGCTCCGCCCTTCCCACCGTCTGAATCGGCCCCCACAGGGGCCCATATATAGCTCTGACAGGCATGCCGTTGTCCCCGATTTGTATCGCTGACCATCCATCTCTTGGAGGTCTCTTGGATCGTCTTGGGGCGATACCAGAAGCCTTTTTGGCCATTTTGGACGCTGCTACGAACCAAACAGCGAGTTGTGCTGAAAATGCACGTTTCCCTAAGGGAATGAAGCGATGCTTGCGTTCTGGGAGCTCTGTTGACGGCCTCCTGGGCGTCTAGGAGGCCTCTGAAGGCCATCTGGGTCCTTCTTGGAGCGCTCATGTGATGTCTTGGGTCTCTCTTCGGCCTCTCTGACCGCTCTGATCGCTTGGAGTCTCCTGGCAAGACACCCTGGCTAAGCGCCCTGGGAGGTCTGCGACGAGCTGGGGGGGAACCTTTGGGGAGGATGTCCAGGGGGCCCAGAAACCCGCGATTCTGAGGGTCCAGTTTGGGGGGGGGGTGACGAGGTTTGCCCAACCCCCCAAGTTGCAAGAATATAAGAAAAGGACTATACACACATTACAAGGACGTGCGCCTGTAAATGGAATGAGTGTACATATGTATACGTGTGCAAACGCAAACACACACACACACACGCGCACACACACACACAAACACATCAGTGTAAACATATGCATGTGCAGGTACGTGCGTACACATATTGCCGTGTTGCTCCTCGACGTAGAATGAAACATATGTACAGACATATTCATGAGTGTGGCTGCGTATACGCAAGGGCAGTGTCGTACACATGCACACAAACATATGTATATGCGAACATATGTACACATCCCACATGTATGGCGCTGCCATGCGCAATGGTTTGCGTAAGCACGTATGCACTTACATCTGCGTAAACACATGTGTACACTTCTAGATGTGTATGCGTGCATGTGTGCGCATGCGTGTGGTAACCACGTACAACTATGGATGCACACGAATCAGAAAAACACGCGCGCTTCGCGCACGCTCAGGTTCTAGTACGACGGGCCATGGCATCAATTCTGCGACCACGTCAAGATCATGTACGATACACTTGCAAAGAAATGCGTGCCCAGAGCAATAGACAACCCACCAGGTGAACATGGTCCCCCCCATGGGAGGGACATCGATTCAAGCGCCCTGGACCCTGTCCTCGGGAGCCCCCTCCACTTCTTCCCCCGCATCCTTCCAGTCATCGGAGCGTCTGCTTCCAGGGTGCGACAGCGGCTGGCGAGGAGCCAAGAATCGGAAACTTGGGGTGCGCAGGCGCACGAGGACGCTCCAGGAAACCCAGGAAGCCCAGACAAAAAAACTCACAGCGTCCCCGCACAAAGGTCTAAAAAAATTTGGAAACGACAATCCCCTTGATTTGTCCTTCCGCCTGCATGGAAGAAAAGGGTCCTGGTGGAAACGGGCCCTGGGCACCGGAGCGCTCCCCAAGGACCAATGCTTCGTCCTGGGCAGTGTTTTGTCGGCCGCGGGGCCCGGGGACGGCTCAGGGAGACCACTTTGGCTCAGAAGAGGCCCGCACGGGACGAAACGTTAGCCAGCTGCAGACTAGCAGCTGCGTCGGCGTGATTTCAACGTCGGCTGTATCATTGCATGCTTCTACGTCCACTCCTTCCAGTCCCATCCAGGACGATGGAAACGAACAAACTCCAAGACTTCTTTCTCGGGGGCGGCCAAGAGGGGGGCGTACAAGAGGGGGGGGGGGGGGGGGGGGGGGCGAAAATCATGGCCGGCGGCACGTGCGCGGCCCAAGGGGGGGTTAAGGGACGCCATGAAACAAGAAGAGGCGCCATGAGATCTGGGAAAATATCATTGCCCACGCCATGGTTCCCCTTCTCCACCTGGTCATCACCCCCCTCTTTTCGGCTATACGCAAGAGTGACCCTGGGTAAGAGCGACCTTTGGTGCGCGACTTTTTGGGTGCCGCGGGGGGACCGAAACTGGGCGCGCAAGCAGCTGCTGCTGCTGCTGCTGCTTCGTTTTCAGCCATCTGGGGACCCATCTGTGCCCACACCAGAGGTCACTCCGGCGAAAGGTCACTCTTACGTCCAGTTGATCTTTGCCGCCCCCCACGTTTTCGTCCAAGACTCGGGGATCCTCTGACCCGGGTCAATCCAGACCCGGGTCAGCAGGAAACCAAAAACTGCAATGCAGGAAAAAAAAAAACTGCAACGCAGGTCCTCGCAAACCCGGGTCAGCCAATACGCGCGGCCGCCTCGCGGCCACGAGCGGCTCCCTAACCCGGGTCAGCCAGAGGGGGCCTTCGCGGGATCCTGCAGGATCCGGCGCCCTGGCTGACCCCCGTTTGCACTGACCCCCGTCTCGAGGCTCCCGAAAGACGCCGTTCTCCCTCGTGCCGGCCCTCGAAGATCGGCCTCCGCACGCCTCCCGGGGGCGCGCTCGGGCCAGCACTCCGGAGGGGAGGCCCGGCCGCGAGGTCGCGGGGCCCCGTGCAGGCGCGGAGAAAGAACGACTGCACGAGAGGAGAACCCCCCCAGCAGTGGACGGCTTGGAGATTGGTGCTGTGGGTATTGAGATCGATTGTGAGATCGATCGTGAGATCGATAGTTCGTGGGATCGCCAGCGAGGGCGATAGTAAGGTCGATCGTGAGACCGACAATGGAGTCGATTCAGTGAGATCGAACAAGAGATCGATCGTGAGATCTCTCGTGCGATCCATAGTGAGATTGATAGTGAGATCGATTGTGATGTCAAGTGTGAGATCGATAGGGAGGTGAGTAATGAGATCGATGGTGAGACCGATCGATAAGGAGATCGACCAAGAACCCGGGAACCTGGAAACCCAAGAACCCCGCCGCCAACCGAAATCGGCCCGGAAACAGCACCAGGGAACCGGGGAACCCAGAACCGGGAACCCAGGAACCTGGCCGCCTACCGAAATCGGCTGCGTGCGTTGCCCAAATCTTTCGACATCCGCTAGGACCCCTTCAGAGCAAGCACTGATTGGGGGAACAAACAACGACATGCACAGAAAAACTCAAAGAGGTCCGCGCGGATTCCCCGGATCGGCGCCGGAGGCGCCGTCACGGGGTCCTGGAGCCGACCCCAGAAATCCGCGCGGAGCGTCGAAAGTTTATGCTCGTGCAGTGCGCTCGTCTTCGGCGATCCCTTGCATGGGCCTGTTTTCCACCACCACCACCGTAAGTTGGAGGGGGAAAGGAGGTGGAGGAGGAGGAAGAAGACGAGGGGCAGGAGGACCCCCTCCCCCCTCCGACTTATGGTGGCGGAGGTGGAAAGCAGGCCCATCGGCAGTGTGCTCTTCTTCGGCGATCCCTTCCACGCGATGTCATAACGAGGGATCCGCCGCGGCAGAGCCTCCCCGACCGTCGTCGTCGAAGCTCAGCTCGCGGCCGGAGGCGTCCTCGGCCTCGCGGGGCCAGGGGTCGTCCCCACTTGGGTGTCGCTGTGCCGGGGCATCGGGGAGGTAGGAACAGGGAAAGGCGACATCAACACCAACAGGGCGAGGAGATGAGCGGAGGCAAGGGGGTCTACCTGGTGGTGTGGTCCCCCCCTCTCGCTCGAGACATCCCCAGTCTCTCGCTCGGGGAGGCATCGTGGACCTCCTCGCTGGAGGTGGGCCCCCTGGTGGTGTTGGTATCGCTTCTCCTCCCTCCGAGGGAGTGAGAGATGAGGAGCGTGAGGAGGTGCACGGATGATAGAGGTCAAAAGTCCACCCCCATAGTAGCCACACGCGAAGTCGTTTAGCAAACGCGCCCTCAAGAAAGAATCGAGCAGGGCATGGCTGCTTAAGAAACGCCCAGGGCCGTTCAGTAAAGGCCAATTGTCCGGTCCGGGTGGTTTTCCTTCCCTTGAGATTAGAGTCTTAGGGGAACAAGCACTGGTCTAAGCATAAAAACTCGGAGGGCCGCACGGATTCCTCGGATCACGAGAAGAGAATTAGAGTCAGATGCTCGTTCTGGGTGGACTCCTTCATGGAGCTACTCGCTCCATTAATGCGACGATGTTGCGTGGAACGTCTGCCGACTTGAGTCGAACTTGGGTCGAATCTGAATCGAAACTCTGTACTCCCGCCAACGAGGGGGAGGAGCAGCAAGAGGGAGGGCCCGAAGAGGAGAAGGAACACGAGGAGAGGAACGAGGACGAGGGAGAGGAGAGGGACCAGCAGCAGCAGCAGGAGGAGAGGGTCGACGGGCGGGGAAAGGAGACAAAACGGCCGAGGAGGAGGAGGACGGCCAGCGTCAACGACGGCGACGACGACGGCGACAGCGGCGACGGCGGCGACGACGGCGGCGGCAGCTAGGGCGACGGCGACGGCGACGGAGAAAGCGGCGACTGCCACGCCGGCGGCGGCGGCACCGCCGACGACGACAGCGCGCGGCGTCCGGACGGCGCGGAGCCTCGAAGTCGTCCTGGTCCCAGCCCTGGCCGTCGCCGCCAGAGTCCAGCGGCTCCACGTCCCGCGCCTCCACGGCTGGGCGATGACGGACGACGACGACAACGACGACGACGACGACGACGACGACCAATGACGACGACGACGACGACGACGACGACGACGACGACGACACCAGAGACAGCGACAGCGACAACGACCTAGCTCCTTGGCCGATGCTCGGCGGCATGAAAGCGAGCCAGGAAAACCAGCTGCGCAGTATCACGAGCCGTGTTTTCCCCAGCGCCCCGTCTCTCGAAAGCAGTGACTGCGGCAACCTCTTCCTGGCGAAGCCCCTCTGCTATCGCCATCGCCGCCGCCGCATCCTCCTCCTCCTCCTCCTCCTCCGCCTCCTCCTTCTCCTCTAGTCCCATCTGAATATCATGAACTTCTATCGCGGCCATCCTGGACGAGGCGTTGACCGCCTCGACGCAACCCACGGCACTTAGCAACCTGCTCGGCAGCCTGCTCCTTGCGCTCGGCCTTGCAGGCGGCGGCCTGAGCCTCTTCCACATGTTACTCCAGGGCGGCTCGCGCAGCAGCCCAGCCCTCATCGACTCTCGATGCCACCCTGCGCTGCTCATCCATCACTTCCTGAAGCATTGTCTGGGCGGTTTTGATCTCTTTGTGCGCGCGCCGCTGCTGAGCCTCGATAGCCTCCATAATTTGCATCGTAGGCTTGAGCCCAAGGCCAACGCACCGGTGACTCTTTAGGCCCGGGCACTCAGAACAGAGGGCGCCGATGCCGCAGTGCTCGCAGTCAGTGAGCACACGCACCACACGCAGGCTTCTGACACTGGCCCATCTTGTCTGGGCAGCCCGCCTCGGACGTCGCCGGGCAAGCATGCATTCTCGTGGGCAGAAGAAGAAACCGTGTACACGGCCTCGCGGGCAAGACCCCTGGGCCGCGACCCCGTGGATACTGGGCGTCTTTTCGCGTATGCCGCTTGCGGAACGCAACCATGCGACCGCGCATGCCATGGATCGCGTCTCGGAGTCCAGACCGCAAGGCCGTGCGGCTGGATTCGCTCGCCACTCGTGACACTCGTCCAGGATAGACGGCCCGCTTGCAGCCGACGACGTGGCACCTCTAGAAGAAGAAAAAACACCATGGAAATGAACTTCTGGCGCTCCGCGCGGATTTCTTGGACCTGCGCTGGACCCCCCTCCCTGGCGCGCAGAGCGCGCCAGAGGCGGCGCTGGAGGCGCCGCCGGGGGGCCCCGCGCGGATACAGGAAATCCGCGCGGAGCACCAAACGTTTATGTTTAAGGCGTTTTTTCTTCTTCGACCGCTAGCAGTAGGTCGGGCGTGTCCTCCTTCAGGCTGATTTGGACGGAAAATCCAAAACATATTCAAACAATTTCAAGGAATAGTCCCCAGACTATGTTCCAACTATCTGTGAACATCCCTCCTGTAGAGGGACAGGCCCGACTTAGCTAGCAGCCGACGCCGTGGCACCTCTGGGCGACGCTCCTCTCGGGGATCTTCTGACCCGGGTCAAGCCAGACCCGGGTCAGCCAGGCCTTGCAGAATCCTGCAAGACCCTGCACACAACCCCGGGTCAGCGCGACGGATCCTGCAGGATCCTGCAAGATCGGGCGCTCTGGCTGACCCCCGCTTGTCTTGACCCCCGTCTCGGGCCGGGCGAAAGGGGGGGATAGCAGAGGGGGGTTGAGAATCCGCCCCCCTCGGTGGGGCCCCTCGGTGGGGCCGAAACCAGCTGCATGCAGCAGATGTCGTACCCCCCCCTTCGGGGATGGACAGACCTCCCTTTAGTAAAACGTGGTTTAGTGAAAAACGACCTGAGGCCCAAACCTGGCGGGCGCAAGCCTGGAAAATAACGGCCGCGGCGCCCTCTCGAGAACCGAAAACGGACAATTCACTAGTCGACGTGTCACTGTTGGGGGTTCTGTCCGCCCCCGACCCCTTTCCCAATCCCCCCCCCCCTTTGGTCCGGCACCCACTGTCTCTCGGGCCCCGCCTCTCGGCGGCGCTCCTCCGCGGTTATACCATCACCGGGCCCTCTGCGGCCCGGCGGGCGGGGCGGAGAGCAGGCCGAGGCGCCTCGCCAGGCCCGCGCTCGGCGGGGTCGGGCGTGCCTCCCGCCCCCCACACCTGGAAGGGGCCCTGGGATGCACAGAGAACTAACCACAAATCCCAGGATTCCCCATAGATTCCCACATATACATCTATGTATATACATATATGTACACATGAATATATATATATATATATATATATATTCACACACACACACATAAATAAAAGTACATATATCGATATATATATATATGTATCGATATATGTATATATACACATACGGACAGCCCCCCCCCCAGCACCCACTCTTGCCAATGTTCGTTTGCAGCGGTGTTTCCCTTCTGCGCATCCCCGTCGCCTCTCTCTTCCTCCTCCGATGAAGCAGAAGCGACAGAAAGAGTGCGCAGAGAGAGAGAGAGAGAGAGACAGACAGACAGACAGACAGACAGACAGACAGGGACAGCAGACAGAGACAGAGACAGAGACAGAGACAGAGACAGGGACAGGGACAGGGACAGAGACAGAGACAGACACAAAAAGAGAACGAGAGAGAGACTTGAGGGAGCAGCGATCCCTGTGAAATCACCGGGTGTGCGACGGCAGGAGTCACCAAATTCTGTGCTTTCATGTGAATGTTAAGGATTTCTGGGATGAATCAAGGAAGCCATGGGATTTCACCGGGATTCTGTGGATTTCTAAAAATTTTACCTTCCCGAAAAATTGAAACCCAGGAGCCTCCGGAGCTTCAGAGCCTTTGGGAATCCCGAAAATGCCAAACATCCACATGAAAAGACAGGGTGTGCGACGGCAGGGGTCACCAAGCACTGTGTTCTCATTTGGATGTTTGGGATTTCAGGGAAACCATGTTTCCGCACTTGTGTGGGATTTCATGTTCCTCCTCCTGGTTCCTCCTCTTCTGAACCACACAGGGAGGGAGGAGTGGAGGGAGGGAGGGAAAGACAGAGAGAGATAGAGAGAGAGAGAGAGAGAGAGAAAAAAAAAAAACAAAAAAAAAAAAAAAAGGAAAGAGAGAGAGAGAGGGAAAAACAAAAAAACTGAGAAAGAGAGAGAGAGAGAGAACGAGAGAGACCTGAGGGAGCAGTTATCCCTGTGAAATCACCAGGTGTGCGACGGCAGGAGTCACCAAACCCTGTGTTCACTGTGATTTTTGGGACTTCTAGGATGCGAATCAAGGAAACCCTGTGTTCTCACTGGGATTTTTGGAGTTCTGGGAGTTCAGAGGTCCCAAAAATTTGGAGACTCCTGGGTTCATGTTTCTGGGGGATCGAAATCCAAGAGATCCCAAACATCCCAATGAAAACACATGGTTTCCTCGATTCTCATCCCAGAAATCCCAAACATCCAAGTGAGCACACAGGGTTTGGTGACCCCTGCCGTCGCACACCCTGTGATTTCAAAGGGATCGCTGCTCCCTCGAGTCAGTCTCTGTCTCTCTCTCTCTCTCTCTCTCTCTCTCGCTCTCTGACTCTCCCTCTGTGTGTGTGTGTCTCTCTCTCTCTCTCTCTCTCACTTTCCTCCCCGTCCGCTTCAGAAGAGGAAGACGACGAGGAGGAGGAACAGAAGGAAGACGACGACAAGGAGTTGGAGGAGGCTGAGGAGAGAAAGAGCAAGACAGACAGAGATAGGTAGTGAGCCGTTCAACGACCGATGCAAAATGATTGGGTGCTGGGGGGGCTGCGCATATATGAATACATATACTGTATATACATATGTATATATATATATATATGAATACGTGCATACAGACATACCTGCATACACACATACGTACATATATACATATACGTATACATATATATATATATACATACATACATACCTATACGACCAC